TGTTCAGTGTCAGGAGGGTGATCAGTCTTACATCGGGGAAACAAAACAGCCACTGGTCAAAAGGATGGACCAGCACAGAAGATCAACATCATCAGGCCAGGACTCTGCGGTCTACACTCATCTCCAGGCCAGCGGTCACTCTTTCAGGGATGAAGATGTTCACATCCTGGACAGAGAGGAACGATGGTTTGAGAGAGGAGTAAAGGAGGCCATCTTTGTGAAAAGAAACCGTCCATCATTAAACAGAGGTGGAGGCCTCCGGGTTCAACTGTCCCCCTCTTACAATGCTGTGATTGCTAGTATCACTCAGCCCTCTGTGAGTAGTAAACAGCCATCAGGGTGCTAATACCATACCATTTTATTTATAGAGCACTTAAAACAGTGACAAGGCCAACCAAAGTGCTGTACAGACAGAACAACAGGTAACACATAAAGCAAAATACAAATTGAAGTAAATCAGAATGTAGACATAAAAACAATGCAGATATTGATGACTAACCAGTGTGGAGCATACAGGTGCTAATGATCAATTGTTAGGCTGATGGTCCTTCTTGATCATGTGAGCAGCTGGTTTTGGTTGTCAGCAGCAAACTGGTTGATCCACTCTGAGAAGTTGCTATTTATAGGACTGAGCTGAATACAGCACCTCAGACTGAGGAAGTCTTTCGGATGAAAGACGAAACGTTTATATATATAATTTTTTTGTTTGTTTGTTTGTTTGTTTTGCTTTGTTTTGTTTTTTGAATGTCCAGAGGACCAGATTTAACTTTTTTAGATTTTTCTTTCTGGATTATTGAGCATGCATCAGGAAACACTACGGAATGTTTCTTAGACTGTGGCTAGGATGCATCAGAGAAGCGGAGCGTGCTCTATTCACACAAGGAGGGCTGTTGGTCAGGCTACTTCTTGTTGTGCCATTAACTCTAAAATAATTATTGAATCAAGTGTTACTTATGTAGGCAAAACTAAATGTTAAACAGCCCATTAAAATACACCAGAATGCAGGAAATGCATCTACTTTATTCAAAATTTTCTGGGGGAGGACCCCAGACCCCCTTCCAGTGTGCTTCTCCCCTATCACATTAAAAAAGCTTCTGACACCAATGGTCACCACATTCTAGCCAAGTTCAAGCCAAGAGCCATTGTCAGCACTGGGGTCTAAAAGCACCCCTGAAGAGCAGATTCTAGGTCGCCCCTGATGTAAGCTTATAATTACATGATCTTAATAATATAGGTCGTGATCTAAAGTGTGCCACTATCAGGCATGAAACTCCAGTGCTGAAAATGAGCCCCACTCTGGGCCTGCCGACGTGAATAATAATTTTACTGTATTTAGCCTTAGCTTTAGCCAGTAGTTTCAGGTGGGATTCAATGTCGCCCGCTTTGGCTCCTGGAACGCATTTGACTGTGGTTTGAGTCGCAGGTGCTACATTTCAGATTATGGAGCTGCCGACAACGAGAGTCTGCTCCTCGGCAGGTGTCTCAATAAGCCCAGAAAATCAATTTAAGAGTTGAACGGGTCGGTGGTTGACCGAGGGCTTAGTTTTAGTATTATTTTTTCTTTGGACCATCGCCCAGTGGGGCTGAGGTTCAGGGTAGCTATGTGGAGGAAACTGGTTTGAAACGTGGTTTTGAACGTGAGAAGAATCATGATAAACATATAATAACATGATAAAGGAGGATCGTCAGTACAGACGCCAGATACTTGGAAACATTGTAAGTGACAGAATTAATCATGCTAACAATTGGTCTTAAAGGTACACCTTGTTTGAAAATCTTTAATGTTTCAAATGGGTTACAAAAAATGAGCATTAATTCAGCGTTGAAGGTTAAATTATTTAATAAAATTTGCTTTGTATTGTCTGTAGCAACAGAAGAGGTTCACCCCATAAGGTAGGTAATATTTTAATTATTCTGTGAATCATTCATCCGTCAGTGTTGAACTGTGAACTAACAGATATTTCTTTGGGAATGGTCAGAAACAAGAAGTGGACTTCAAGAACTGTTCAAGAAAAAATATTCAAAGATGTTCAGAAAACTTCTATTTTTTCCCTAAAATATTTATTAAGAACCTACTTTCTGAGAAAAATAACCAGTGACCCAATCAGGACTGAATTATTTTATTTGAATTGTCTTTAAAAAAGAAAAAAGCGTCCACCAACTTTAAATGAGCAGTTTTATTTACAAGATTGTTTCTGTCTAAAAAAACAGTTATAGAAATTCACTGTTTGCGTGACACGTTGAAACGTAATAAACGGTAACAGACTTCATCATCAGCATATAAATGTATTTGTGTCGTGGTGGGGCTGCTCCGGGTTTGTGGGGTCTTCAGCCCCTCAAGCCTCGGGCCATGAGGCAGGCGAACACCGTCATCACCATCTTTGGTTTGACCTCCACCAGGTCCTCGGGCAGGGCATAGACCCGCGCACCAATCTTTCTGGCCATGGAGATGGCGTACCTGACGACATAAAGACAATCTGAGGGTTGACTCGACTCGACCGCCGCTGCAGAACATGAAAACCTGAACTCAAGAACCTGCAGCAGCTTCACAAACAGTTTTTAGGTTTCAGTCTAAAGTTGTTTAAATTCATTCATCTGCAGAGAAATACGATCTTTAAATGTATTTAAAGTAACAGACTTCAGTTAAAAAGTATTACATTTGCGTTCAGATCCTTGGTGAGTTGAAGCACCTTTTGGGGCTGCAGCCTCAGGAATTTTTTTTAAATAAATCAGAAGTTTTTTTATTTATTTACAAATCCTTGTGATCCTTACGGCTGCGAAAAAAACTAGTTGCAACACGTTGGAAACCCCCACATTCACTTTATTTCCGAGCATGGATTCTGACTTGTTTGTTTATCTAGAACTGTCAATAGCCCGAGTTCACAGAGCCAAAGAATCTTCGATGAAGGCATGGAGTGTGCTTCTAGCAATCCTCCGTGGATTTCAGGTGTAATATGTAAAGGAGTGTTGAAACGCTTGGATCCAGGGAGCGGGTGGGTCTCATCTAGGGTCTTGATTCTGTTGTTTGTTTTTCCTTTTGTTTTGACATGTCTCTTTATTAATGTGCTATTATATAAGCTTATGTACAGGTATGTGAATTCTGGTTTAAGACTATTTTTTTCTGTAAGGTACAAATGGTTACCTGAATTTCACATTGTTACGTACTTTAAAGCAGGCATCAAGAAACCAGGAGAGAAAATGGCGCTCTACTAACATTGAAAATTTTTGTTTAACTTGGAAAGATAGTCTGCTAACATATAAGAAAGCTCTCTGTAAAGCTAGAGCTTTATATTACTCATCTTTAATAGATGAGAATAAAAATAGCCCTAGGTTTCTGTTTAGTACTATTGCTAGAATAATTAAAAGTCCCATTTCTGTTGAACCCTGTGTAGCGATATGGGGCTTAAAATATATATATTGTTAATTATCAGTTATGAGTTAAGCTCATAAGATATGCATGCATTATGTAAATAACCTCGTTGTATGGGCACCACCTCTCTCGGAGAGGAAAAATCAGTCTCTATTTACCCCAAATCAATGTAAACTTAATGTGAGTTCTTTTCTCATGTTTAAATGGCATCAAATTAATTAATACACAGAGATATGCCAAAATAATCACAACTTCAGTTGAATTTTATTTTATAAAAATAATAATCTGTGATATGTATGATGAAGATTATGCATAAGAAAAGTTAACTGAAGAACAAATAGCTTTGCATCAAAGGTCTAATTGATTATTCAAATTAGTGGAACTTAGAAGGCAGACTTGGGACTGTTTCTGTTTGTGAAGTAGTTAAAATTGTGTCTAAGGTGAGCTAAGTTTTTCTGATAAGTTGTGATGTAGGGTCACCAGAAAGGCATTGAAAAGTCTCTCCAACCAGGATGTAGATGGTCAGAGCATGGTTCCAACAGCTGCTTAAATGGTACCAGCCTCAGATGTTCCAGTGACTGAGAGGCTGAAGTCTCCTCAAAGTTCACCTGTCATCGTTAGAGGGACCAAGGTCCATATGGTAGTCAGCTGGGATTTACCACTCTGCGGTGTGATGGTTCTGGTTGCCTGTTAGGCAACTGGAGTCCTGGATTCCATGCCAGCTTCTGGTTCTGGTCAGGTTCTGTATCTTTCTCTCATCCTGAGACATCTGCAGAAAGGATGCTTCTCTCCTCTCTGAGGTCCAGTGCAGAAGCTGGGTTTCTTCTCTCTCCAGTTCTCTGTGCAGAAGCGTGTTGGCTTCGGAGCGTCTCTTCAAAGTGTGTGTTTTCTCAAAAGTTTTCTTAGAAGACGCTTCCTGCCTGTGTGGAACAGATAGGACTGGTCCAGCTCTTCCAGGAAGAGGTGGTCCTAACTCTTGGCTTGTTTTTATTTTAAATAAAGGCCTATTAAATAAATCTAGAGTCCCTTTTCTCTGCCTTAAAAGTTTCCTTTTATTATCTTAAAGAAAGATGACTTAAAACACACATTTTCAAGAATAAACATTGAGGTAGGACATATTTAGGATTAAACTTAAAACATACAATGTTTTAGTTTTAGTGTCACTGTCCATCTCCTGAAAAGGAATGTCATTAAACAAAGTGTTCTTATGATGTTATTATCTTCATGGGTACGAGTCTGGGAGGAATACTCCTTTTGATAAAGGAAGTTATCAAAGTAGTGAGTTTGGACGTTCCAAAAACTTCGAGGTCAGTCGAACAAAAACTCTCATTAAAACGATCTGTTCGTTTCATGGGAAATGAGTTCATACGGGCAGTGAGGTTAACACAGTGACAGTTTTTTAAATTACATTTACATTAGTGTCAACTAAGAAGTTTGTGAGTGAAGCTGAATATTTGTAAAACAATGTCTGTTTGTTCCAAAGGGAATAGATGAATCTGATGTAACAGTTTCAAACACAAACACAGGAATGATGTTTGTTTGAGCTGAGCTGTTTCTGAGGTGGAGTCCCCTACACCTGCATCCCTACGACCACAAGTAGTGATGACTTCATGAGATTCTTTATAGATAAAATGATTTCAATTAGAGAGGAAATTCAAACCGTCCTTCCTTCTACTATCTCTAGTCCTCTGTCAAATGAGACAACTTTAAATATTTCACTCATAGAAAAGAAAAAGAAAAATTTGATCACAAAAATAAAAATCCTTGTGAGAGCAGTGCAGTCGGACGCAGAGCGTTGGTGGGGCCGTTTTCCGGTGTCCAGGTGTTTGATAAGGTTCAGGTGAGTGTTGAGGCAGGTCCACTCTGGGACATGCACCTCCTCAGCTCCTCCTCAGCTCCTCCTCAGCTCCTCCTCTGTGTGTGCTTTGGGTCGTTGTCATGTTGGAAGAAAAGCCTTCAGCCCACTCAGGTGCTCAGCTATGTGGAGCAGGTTTTCATTGAACATATCTCTGGTGTTTTCTTCTTCCAGATCTCCCTGGTCATTGCCTTCGTTGTTCAAACACATCCCACAGCATGGTGCAGCCACCACCATGCTTCACTTTGAGGATGGTGTTCAGGGCCTGCTTCGTTCACACATAATGTTCAGAACTGAGGTTAAACAGTTCTGTCCTGGTTTGTTTCTCACTTTGAGTCCTTCGAGCAGCTCTCCGTGGTCTGCTCTGAGGAGAGACTTCCATCGAGCTGTTCTTACAGATGGGTGGAGGTCTGCAGGTCTGCTTGTCCTTTCTGTCTCCTTACAGGATCTCTGGTGCTCAGAGTGGACTGCAACGAAGCCAAGATTCATCTTGTCTGCTGGATTCCTTAGATAGAGAACTTTACTAATACTTTGCTTTTCTGTGAAAGTTCCTGTAAAGTCCCTGAGACAACTCTATTGTGATTTGGTGCTTTATAAATAAACTGAACTGAACAGACCATCGGGTTCTTGGTCACCTCTCTGTTCTGCTTCCATCACTCTGTGGTTAGGTGAGCGGCTCTCGGAGGGATCCTAGTTGTGTTTGAGACTTACGGAGGCCGCTGAGCTCTGAGGAACTTTCAGAACACTTTCCTCAGATCGGTATCTGCCAACAGTCCTGTCTGAGCTCGTGGTTGGTTTTTGCTCTCACTGGCAGCAGTCCTTCTATAGAGACACATACATTTCCAAATCCTGTCTGATCAGTAAGATCTACCACAGGTACGGTCCAGTCTAAGGTGAAACATGTCAGCAACGATGAGACGACCTGAAGCAAGTCTCAGGTGTTGTTGCAAAACATCTGAATACTTAGAGACGTTTTAGTGTTTCCTTTCAAGTCACATTATGAAGTTGTGTAGAATTTTTCCACTTTGTCTTAATGAGGTACTGAACGTGCATTTTGAGGTGAAGAATAAAAGTTTCTGGAGCTGCTGTAGGCTTCAGTAAGTCCAGCTGCTGATTTAGTAAAACTGAGACTTCTCCACTTTAACAAGAACACCAAACAACTACCAGAATCAAATCGTTCCAACAAGCAAACCTACTTTGCGTTGTTAAGCTTCTCTTCCTCTGTCAGGTCCTCAAATTTCACCAGGTCATATCTGATGGATCCGGGCTGGATGGAATCGATCAGGTCCAGAACCGGCATGCTGCTGCTGATTGACGTGTCCTGCATGGAAGAAAGGTGTTAAATTCTAGGAACTGTACCTGAAGCTCCTCACCATCAGATTCATAATCCCAGAACATAAAGTTCCGAGGATCATTGTTGGGATCTGTCTGCTGATCAGAAGTAATAACAGACTTCAGGTTTTTATTGACTACCTCAGTAATGATGTCATTGAAGTGAACACACCTCATATCAGACGACCTGCCTGTTTTACCTTAAAGCTGGAGATGGTGCCTTTTTCAGCCTGTTTGAGGGTTTCGTTGACCCACACCACGATGGTGTCGTCAATTATTTTTTGTCCGTCGCCGAGGTCCTCCAGGATGTTCAGGGTGTACCTGAGGGACATTTACATTCACACTTTCAACCTCAGGTTCTTTTGTTGTTGCTAAATGAGTGCGTGAGTGTTGAGTTGACTGGCTTTAATAAGAACAGGATTATTTAGTGTCATTTTTACAAATGCTTAACCTTTGGAGTCAAATCTGCCTTCGGTTAGCAAAACCTCATCTCGGGTGTCATGCATTCCTTTTAAACTAGTTTTTTGTTGTTGTTTGTTGGTTCATCATCAGCAGAAGGAAAAAGTGTCAAAGCTTCAACATGTGTAGAACATGAATAAAACAGTTCTTCCTGCTGCTGGAAGCAGAAACTCAAAGTAAATTTCAGGGCTTTTACTTTGAAGGAGCAGCTGTTTAGCCTCAGAGATCATCGCAGTATGATGATGATGATGATGATGATGATGATGATGTTTTTTTATTTATTTTTTATTTATCCAGGAAGTCTCATTGAGCCACGAGAACTCATTTTCAAGAGAGACCTGTTTAGGAGCAGATGGGGGTTAAGGGCCTTGCTCATGGGCCCAGAGTGGGGCGAATGAGGGTGGGGGCAGGCTTCATTTACACCACCCACATTTTTGATATTGTCGGTACTGGGGCTTGAACCGGCGATCTTCCGATCACAGGCCCACCTCTCTAACCTCTGCACCACATGCGCCATATGATGATGTGAAAGAAGTAATTTTGAAGGGATGCATGTTTAGGAAGTACAAAGAGAAGGAGGCCAGACTAGAAGTAGGTCACTGTTACCTCCTCATGAGCTGCCAGAGCAGAGCGAGGGTGAGGGTTCGATTTCCTGCGTTCAAGTCCTGACCGGCGATGCCAACCAGAGAGAACTTGGCCTCCTTTTTGCCCAGCTCCACAGCGTAGTTACAGTTCTCCAGCTGGAACAGAAATCATCTGAGTGAGAACTAAAACCCCTGGAGAGGAAAATGATCCGACACGTTTCAATGAACTTGTTATTAAAGGGACCACTTCACGAGGACGTGTTCTTCTGTTTCTGTCAGGAGTTCTGAGTCACTACTCCCCCACAGAAATACTCCGACAAAAATATATTCAAACATGCAGCTCAATCAGAAATGGTGTGCCAGGACTTTTGGTAGCAGTACATTGTACTTCTTCTTCTTCTTTCAGCTTTTCCCTCTTCAGGGGTCACCACAGCAAGTCATCCTCCTCTGTCCTCACTCTGTCCTCTGTCCTCACTCTGTCCTCTGCATCCTCTGTCCTCACTCTGTCCTCTAT